TCTGCCTGGTGTTTGCTTGAATCGGGCAGAATCTCATGGTGTCTCTGTTCTTGCACCATAAATGAACAACCATCACGATGATGATGATGATAAATTAAGATCAGCTGAGCGCTCCCCGCCTCCCCCGGGAAGTTCAGGAAGGTTCCTTTCGGCAATGATAAAGCTGAGGCCCAGAGAAGAAAAGCCAGCTGCCCAGGCTCTGCAGGTTCCAAGTGGGAGAGTGGAACGTGACCTCAGAGGGCCCACCCTTGCTCTGAGCTCCGACGGCGGCCGCCAAAGCACCATCAGGGGCTGACCCTGGAATGAAGAGTAGAGCCGAGGCGGTCCTCTGAGGTGGGTGGGCATTGATGTCATAGGTGTGGACCTGAGGACGAGGAGAGGCTGTCATATGGCCCCTGTCTTTTTCCCTGGACCCAGGGAGGGAATGGCACAGGCGGGGATGTGTTGAGAGGGGGGGGCCGGTCTCCCCAGACCAGGCCAGGGTGGCAGCGGGCCTCACAGGGGATCCTGCCTGGAGAGGTGGTCTCCTTCTCAGTCTATTTCAGGGCAGAGCACAGGGTCTGGCTCCACGGGCAGCAGCTGGATGAGGTGGCAGCCCAGGAAGACCATACGTGCCTCCCCATAACCTCTCAAGTCTCCCATCAACCTATAACACTTGTGAACGTTACCAGGGGATTTCTTGTTGAAACCAGTCAAGGGGCTGAGCTTCCTACTGGGGACAGAAGCCCAGTGCACAGCATGCAGAAGCTAGGGGCAAATGCAAGCCTTGTTGACCTCTGTCCTAGGGGGTCCCTAGGGTCCTCCAGGTCCTAGGGATCTGCCCATTCCTGCTCTGCTGATAATTAGCTGGGCCTCGGTGGTCTCCTCTCTAACTGCGTGCTGTTGTTCCTGGACACAGCCTGGGCTGGCATCGATCCAGCTCTCCCTTTCTGCAATCCCCTGTCCCTGCTATCCCAAATCTCTGCATCCTACCAGTGCCACCTGCCCATGGTGGGAGCTCTGTTCTTTTGAAACTGGTATCTATATTAACCAGGAAGTTAATATCCATGATTTTTTTTCATCCTTGCAAAACCCCTTTCTTTGCTTACATAACGGCCCAGTCAGACAGGTGGAGAACTGAGGGCCAGAGATGCTAACTGAAGAACTGGCCTCAGCAGAGGTAAGGTTGGCGCAAGCAGGTGAAAGCTGCCCCCCACCCCGTCCCAGTGCATGGCCCCCTGCCCCCCGCCTTGCCGCAAGTCCCCCTCACCACCTCACCATTACGGGGCATGTCTGGGCTCATCTGCTCAAGACCTGGCCTCCATTAAGACTCAGCTCAGCACCGGACAGCGCAGCCCGCGCCTGCCCTATATTCCCCTTTCAAAGGGCAGCAGCTAACCAGAGCTTTTTGTCCCTGTGGGGTTTTTAGATCAGCATTTGTCCTCATCACAGACCTTTTTTCTTTGTGGTTTCTGCCTTCTGCTTACACTCACTCCGTGCCTACCCAAACTGCTCGCATCCGGTCACCCCTGGGATTCCCTGTCTCCCCGAGGACTTCAGCATCCAAGTCATAATCCTTGGGGTCTCAGCATCCAGACTGCCCCTTCCAGGCCATCTCATCTCCTTGCCTCCTCTCACTTGATCTTTGCCATCCCGCTGCCTGGCTCCCCCGAATTCCTCTGCCTGCCAGTCCCTTGGGCCGTCACCTGACTCCCAAGTGTCCCTTCCATGGCAGCTGCCCTTCCAGGCTACCAGGCTGTGGGGCGTCTTATTGAACTTGCACTCTGTAGCCAAACTGCTTGCATGCAAGTCCAAGTCTCCCGAGTCTCCTTTGCCTTGTCTTGTGAGCGGGTGAGATGATGATGCAGCGAGCCATCTCCACTGTCCTGGGATCACTGAGAGGGTTCTGGCGGACGGTGCATGGGGAGTGCTTAGCCCAGTAACAGATGCCTGGCACAGCACGAACATGCGGCAGGGGTTAGCGGCGACCTTCCCCGGTGGCCCCCAATCTCCGCTAGCTCAAGCTACTGTAGGAAGCACCTGCACCCGGTCCCGAGTCCCTGAGCTTGGCCGCACCACCTATCCCTGAGCTCGAGTGCAGGGCAGCCTCTTCTTTCTCCAATTCCTCCCCTCAGGGCTGGTGGAAGCCCTAAGACGGGATGGAATAGTTCCACTACAGACCCCGCTCCTGTGTGTGTCTCAACCATTCTTCCTGCGCTCCGGAACAGGTTTCATCACCTTTACCAGGCCCTGAGTATCACCACCCCAGCTCTTCACTGCCCCCATCTGCAGACAACAGGCTCAGCAGGAGGCTGAGCACCTGCATGTGCGGAGAGAGCACCAGCTGTCCTCCTGACCTCGGTGCGATCTTCCTGGGCCCACATGGATTCTGTTCCATCCTCCCCGAGTGGGAGCTTCCTGCGGTGGCCCACGGGGCGGGGGGCCCATTCCTGCGTCCCAGCACCTTTTCCACCAGTGCGCATCTCCTCCCGTCATCAGCGCACTGGGGCTCCCCCCGCAAGCTCGGGCAAGGAAGTCTCTCGTTGGCTCGTGCTGATTCTCCTTCAAACCTACTCTCCCTGCCAGCTAGGGTCTTAGCAGGCTGCTCCACTCCGACTCCTGGGAAATCTGGCTTGTCTCTCCTCGTCCCGGAAACCCCAGCTCACGGGTCACCGAGGCCTCCTCATGGAGCTCCTGGTCCTCCCCAGTCTCTGGGTCCTGCCAGCAGAACTCTCCAGAACCCACACCCGTGCGGTCGCTGGCTTGCCTGCCTCTCTCCCCTTGCCTGGAACCCTGGGGTCCCATCTTCAGTGTGTCCCCAAGGGCCCCACCCTCTCTCCCTCCCCAGTCCTCACCGTCATTCTCTACCCCCGCGGGTGGATGCAGGCTGCCCCCTCCGGCCCTGACAGCGCTCCACGCCGTGGCCTCACTGTACCCAAGACCTGCTCAGCAGCTCTGCTCGGAGGCCCCACCCCGTCTCTCGCTTCCCTCACCCATTCTCCCCCCGTCCGTGCTCAGTCTTGTTGGCACCTGTTTCTGGTTAGTCTCTGTTCTGGACATTTCCGAGGAACGGAATCCTATACTACATGGTCTTTTGTGCCTGGCGTCTTTCACTGAGCATAATGTGTTCAAGGTTCATCCGCCTTGTGCCTTATGTTAGTGCTTCACTCCTTTTTAGGGCCACATAATACCCCACTGTACAGATATACTCCATTTTGTTGAACTGTCCTTCCGCTGATGGACGTTTAGATTGTTTGCACCTTCAGGCTGTTGTGAGTGCTGTCGCTACGAATGTTTGTGTGCGTTTTATGTTGACGTGTGTTTTCATTGCTCTCAGTGGCTGCCACCATTTTGTGCTCCCAGCAGCACAGCGTGGGGGTTCGGATTTCCCCGCGTCTTTGCCAACACTCGTTATTATTTGGCTTTTTGGTTTTAGCCATCTTAGTGGGTGTGAAGGGACTGTGATTTGCATTTCTCTGGTGACTAATGATACTGAGCCTCTTTTCATGGGCTTATGGGCTATCTGTAGATCCCCCTTCGACCAACGTTGGCTGACAGCAACTTCTGCCACCGGGCACTGTGCCTCAGGCTTCCCATCCGTAAAATGAGAGAGCGGTCAACAGACAGACACCCGGCTGGACGCTCCAAGCAGGCGGATGCCTCTCCCGTACGTCTCCCCGCTCCTGCAGGCAGGCTGTGATGGCTCTCACTAACCTGCAGCCGGGGACGCATTCTCACAGCGAAGTTTACTAGAAAAGCCATTTACGGAATGCACAGTACGTCAAACAGTGTGAGCGGGGAGGGAGGTTCCTGGCTTTTCAGCACGCGGCTGATGCTCTGGGTTGAATTACGTTTCCCCAAATGACGGGTCAAGTCCTAATCCCCGCTCTGTGAACGTGGCCTTATTTGGAAATAGGGTCTTTGCAGATCTAATTCCTTAATGTGATGTCATACGGGATTAGGGTGAGCACTAATCCAATGACGGTGTCCTTAGAAGATGAGGGGGATGTGGACACAGAAGCACACAAAGAAATCCATTGTACTTATGTTGCAGCCAGCAGTAAACACCGAGGAACACCAGCAGCCATCAGAAGAAGGGCATGAGCATCATCCAGAGCCTTCCTAGGGAGCAGGGCCCTGCTGATACGTTGATTCCAAGCCTCTAGACTCCGGAACCACGAAATGATACATTTCCATTGTTTTAAGCCGGCCAGTTTGGGGAACTATGTGACGGCAACAATGGGGGAACAACGCAAGTGACAGTGTTAATAATAAAGCCCTGGAGGCAATTCTTGTCCACGATGGCTGTGTGTTTGGCATTTCTGGCCACCAGCATTTATTTACAGAGGCCAACTGTCCACCGAGTGATACTAAATGTGTAAGACCCTCTTTCAGGTCTCAGTTGAGTACGGCTGATGCACTCATGCAAACAGCGGCCCCAGAATGAGGAATGACCAGGCTTGTTGGGAGATGCTGACTCTGGCTTATCAGCCCCCCTCCCCGTCCCTCCCCTCTCCCCCGCCATGACACCCAGGGCCTCAGCCGACCACGGAGTCCCTGTGGGGGAACCTCAAGGGACCCTCCCAGTCCAAGTCCATGATCTGTCTGGATCTCGAGGTCTGACAGTTGTGCTCACCTTCTCCTCCCACCCGTAGGGTTCCCAGAGAGCTTTGGATAAAGGCAAATGTGTTTTTTTCATCAAAAGCTGCTCACAGCCACCCCCGAGCTTACTACTAATGCTTTCTTAAGTCTGTCCCGGAGGGCCTACCTAGCGTAGGGCAAGCTGCTGGGCACAAGTAATAGGTTTTAATCAGCTGCATTAAGCTCTTCCATTTTAAGACATTTTAAAGTAGGTGATGAGACTCAAGGTGTCAGGTGTCCCAACAGTTCGACTTCGTGGCTGGGCAACAATTTGTGAAAATATCCATCACATAGGCACGCTCGTGATTCTACTGAAACCATCTGGGAACCCCCGTAAAATGTACAAGAAAAATCTCTGAAATATAAGAAAATACACGCCCTGAGAAGAAATGCAAGAGTTTTATTACAAGCATTATTATTCTCGAGGTTCACAATTGATGAATTCATTCAGGAAAATATTTTGCATGTAATGATTTAGAGCCCAGGGAGACACGTCAGGAGTAGCAAAAAGGACATGAACAGTGTACTTTGGGAAACATCGCGACACTCCGGGCTGCAAAACTAAAAAGTATCAAGGATGCGTCTGACTTTCTGAATTTCGTAGGGGAGGGTACAGTGGTCCGCACGGGCCTGACCTAGCTCCAGGAGGTAGCTGGGGGCGGCTGCTGGCTCGCTGTGCTCCAGGGCATGCTGCCTCCCCACCCCCAGTCTGCATCTCTGCAAGCCAGTGTATACCAGCATCTCGGCATTTAAGAAATACCAGGTGTGATGACAGGGTGCTTTGAGGGTTAGACCCTGCCTCCCAGCAAATCAACGAGAAGGGAAGCCAAACCGGGCCTCTAGAATGTGAAGCAGAGCTGCTTCGCCCTCGGGGAAGGGCGAGAGGCGGCTCTGACGAGGTCTGCGTCATTTTTACCAGCTGGCAGACGCAGGTTGGGTAAGGACACCCCGAGGCTGGTGGAGTGCACAGCTGCTGACCCGCCGCAGACACGGCTGTTGGCGAGTGGGATGTCGGCGCCGTACGCGCTCCCAAAGCCTCTGTTCTGGAAGCCTGCGATGGCTGAGGAGACCAGCCCACTGGCTTTTCAGAAAAATAAAAGCACTCTATAGCCATGAGCCGGGGAGCAGTCTAGGGCAGCTCTGGGCAGGAAAAATGGGCGGAAAGTGTAGGACGATCGGACTCGCCCAGGTGAACACGGGCCCAGGCACACCTGCACTTGTTGGATGGACAGGTTCTTCTAGCTCAAACGGAACACGGTGTTTCTACCTTTCTCTAGGAGACAACGGGCGGGTTTTCATCTGGTCTCTCCATGCATGCAATGCTGTTGCTTTAGTATTCCAGAACTAGCTTTATGTCTATTCCTCCATCGGTTGGTGGGCCCTTCTAGAACCCAAAAGCAGCTCTAGAGGGGATTCTGAAACACGCAGCTTTGCCTGATTGCCCCGGTGGAGGCTGTCTGGATCAGGAGGCAGTGCCGGACCTGGGACGCACACTGTGATCTCCTGCTGGGGGCTCCCTTTGGGCAGACTGCCTAGATTCTGATTTTCCAGGAGGTGGGTCCTGAGATTAAAGAGCCACTTCAAGGATGGGAGCTTCTCTTTGGCTTTTCCCGGGAGCACCTGGTGTCCCCCATGCAGTGACCCCCATCTCATGGGGAGAGGAATTCAGGGACACTGGTGTCACTTTGACCAAAAACCTTCCCTGCCCTGCCTTCCTGAAACCTGCCCCATAACTCACGCCCCGTTCTCCCCTAGCTGTTAAGACGCAGTGTCCTGTTACTAAAAAGCATGAAGTGGGCGACTTCTCTCGCCTTCACCTGTCTTGTCCTCCCAAATGTGCGCCCCTCTTGTTTTTAAGACCACAGGTAGGGCCTCGGATGATTGCAGACAGAGAAGTAAAGCTGAGCTCTGGAAACTTCCCTTGACTCAGGTCTGGGCAAGTTCGGCTTATGGCACTTGCAGGGAAACCATGACTCCCTGGACACGAGGTTGGGGGTCAGATCCTTTCTAGCTTCAGATATGGAAATTTAAGGCAAAGGCAGGGGCACTTGACTTTGTCTTAGATTTCCCAGTGGAGCAGTGTTTTTAAGAAAATGCCGTTCTCTTTGCCAGGGAAATACGAAAGGTCGGGAAACTGAGGCACTGCTGGTGGAGGCGCTGGGTCCTCGCCGTTCACTTGCGAGGCTGCTGGATGTGCTGGGTTCTCGGGGAAGGATGCTTGTCTATGGAGGCGTGGGGCTTCTGGTGAGCCACCTGCGCGGCCGCCGGGGGGAAGTCTTTGTCGCCCTGTCAAGAGACAGAATGCACTGGGTCACCGACAGTGAGCGGCGGGCTGATGTGCTAGCAAGGCCCCCAATGCCACGTCTACCGGCTTCCCTGCACGGTGGGTGATGGCACGGGGACCTACTGGCAGGCAGCAGGCTGTCCTCTGGGACTCTGGGGGTCCTGAAGCTCTCTGGGGTGCGGCCCAGGAACCATCCCAGGGGTGAGGATGCTCATGGTCTCTGCCCCCACGCCTTGAGCTCAGGTCATCGTGGGACTCCCTCAGAACTAAGCTGGCGTTGGGTGCCTTTCTTCTGCTAGAGCTGTTCTTGTGACCTTTTGAATGGGGCAAGACAGAACCAAATCCAGTGTCTTCAATCCTGGTTTGCTGCCACAGCTGAGTCAGGGCACTGGTTGGGAAGGAGACACACGGGGCGGGGCTGAGAGCCGGGAGGTGAAGCCAGGTTCAACCTGCTGAGTCGCAAAGAAGGTACCCGGCTATTTGTCAGGCGGAACCGCCTTCTCGTGCCAACAGTGCAGGTGTGGAGGTGGCTGGGGCCCAGGCCACCGCGAGCAGGCTGGGGCCATGGCCAGCTTTGGCTGAGCCAAGTGGCCGAGGGCTGACTCAGGACTTGGGTCAGCATTTAGTTTTCTCGCACATAGTAGGTGCACCACCGGTCTGTCCCAGGGGCCCTGTTCTTCATTCATCATATGCTAAGGGCTCGAATGCACTCGAGCCACAGGGCTGTGGATGGTATTCCTGTGCCATCCCTCAAACGCGACTTTGCTGATAGGTCGTTAAAAAAAAAAATGTTGCGGGTGGGGGGGCACCTGGGTGGTATAGTCAGTTAAGTGTCCGAATCTTGGTTTTGGCTCAAGTTGAGATCGAGCCCCGCCTCAGGCTCCATGCTCAGCACGGAGTCTGCTTGAGATTCTCTCTCCCTCTCCCGGCCCCTCCCGCTTGTGCTCGCTCTCTCTCTAAAATAAATAAATAAATCTTTAAAAAAAAAAAAAAGTTGGGTCTCACCAGAAGAAGGGGCTCTTGAAAGGTAAAGTGTGCGACAAACACCTGTGATTCAGTCCAGGGGTTGGCAAACATTTTCTGTAATGGGCCAGATAGTAAGTATTTCAGGCTTTGTGGGTCACACGTTTTGTCACTGTGGTGGGAAAGCGGCCACAGACGCACGTGCACGAATGGTCACGGCTGTGTACCACTGAGACTTCATCCGTGGCCGCCGGGATAGGAATTTCACGTAATTTCCACGTGTCATAACATATACTTCTTATTTTGAGTTTTTCAACCATTTAAAGACGAAAAAGCATGCTCAGCTCACAGGTCACCCAGAAACTCTGGGCTCGGGGGTGGCTGGCCAAGCCCTGGTTGGGTCTAAAGAAAGCGGGGGACTGAGGGGAGGGGAGGGGGTGTGCACCGTGCGGTCACCGTTCCACACGGGGCTCGCGGCAGAAGTGCCCCACGGACACGACAGCCCAGGGGCCCGGGACCCCGACAGATGAATGGGGTTTAACAAGGACAGGAGGAGTCCGACCCCATGCCAAGGGTTTGATGGAGTGGCTCTTACCCGGGCGATCACACCAGAGATGAACACGGTCGGCTTGGGCGGGCTGCAAGACAAGAAGGGAAGAGCGATTTCAGGGAACAGAAGTGGAAGGAGGCAGGCAGAGTGAGCATGGAGGAAGCAGGTTTGGGGGAGTGTAAGGGACAGTGACCCAGGAGTGACCTCCTCGTCTGTATTATTTCATCTCCCCAGGACCATCTGGGGTCCATCTCCTGAGTTGAGTTCAGGCAGGAGCCAGAGACTAGCAAGCAGCAGGTGAGTTGTGTGTTTTCTTTGTGTTTTTTGTTTGGTGGTGGTGGTGGTGGGGGGTAATCATTCTCAAACAGTGGCTGTGGGCGATCCCAGTAGTTTTTGTTTCATGAGATTATGGACATGGGAAAGCAGGGAAGAAGTGGGCTCATGCTGGGCTGAATGTGGAGACTCCCACCAAGGAGGAGGGATTCTCCTCCTGGGCTCTTGCCACGGCTTCTGGCAGCTTCTAACGGGGGAGATCCCAGAGCCAGTGCAAAGCTCCTGGCCCTTAGGAAACCCAGGTATTAAAAATGTAGGGTCCTTGTGAAGCTATTGTTATTTCCTAACATCTGAAATTGTATTGAGCTCCCCCACCTGTCAACACTCCTGGGGAGGTGGGAGATAGGACCAAAGTAACACAAGTCCATTGCTGAAAAGAAGACAAGTGTGAACATGTTAAAATCAGTTGTCATTCTACCACATGGAAATGGTCACAGTTAATACGTGGCTCTCCGTCCAATCTTTCTATCTATGGATAGACAGACACACTTGTTTTCATATTAAACTTTTTTCTTACAGAAAAGTCATCCTGTTTTCTGCATTTAGGATATGCTAAGCGTCCTTCCATGTTAGCACACGCTCTCCTGTGTTAGTACACACTCTCCTATGCATGTTTTGAAAAGGCTGCACATGTCATAATTTAAGAACACTAGAACACCGCTCCAGGGAGTACATAAATGCACAGTAGGGTGGCTCCCTGCCCAAAGGGAACCCCAAAAAGGTGGCCGAGGAAGCTTGAGCCATTATATATATAAAACACACATGCTCTTTCTCCCTCCTGGTCTGTCTATATACATGTATGTATACATTCACTGTTGAAAAGCAGACAAGGAAAAAAAATGTTAAAATCGCTATATTACTGTGTGTAGAAAGTATACAAATGCATATTTGCACACAGAACTGGACTATAAGAAAACTGCAGCCCAATCAGCAGAGGGTGCTCCTTGGAGAGGTAGCGTCTGGTTCTGGAGAAAGGAGGTGACCCATAGCTGGCAGGGTGTAGCAGAGTGCCAGCCTGCGGTGGGTCCCTGTGTCCTGAACCTCTCGGGCCCTCAGCGCCCTTCCTGCCGCTCCCTGGTGCACCCAGCCCCCGCTGGACGGCAGCCCCTGCCCCCGACTCCTGGGAATCTGGTTATCAGGAGACTGTTGGCAGCATTCCCTACCCGCTGTGTGCATGGAGGAAGGGTCTCCAGACCCTTGGAACCCCATCATGGGTCCCACGCTTCCAGCCCATGGCCTCCTTCTCTTCTCCAGAAGTGACCCTTCAAAGTCTGGCTATTTCCATCCAAGTTGGGCCCTGGGCGTCTCCTACATTAAACAAGAGTGTGGGTTCCAGACCTTGCTTGAGAATGTCTTGGGAAATGTGTGTAAATGATCGTGATTAGAGGTCATTAATGACCCGGGTCCAGCCCCAGCGTCAGAGGGTGATGGCCACTCCACTGGAATCCAACTCCCAGAGCCTCCCCTCCAGTGCATGACCACTGGGCGGCCATGGAGACTCTGGGGACTAAAGGAGAAGACCCTAATATAAGAACCCTCCCTTCCAGCCCAGCTCATTCCCTTAGGGGTGTCCAGGGACAGTGGAGAACCTAAGGATCCACCCAAGGATAGGGCTGCAAAATGGTGCTCTCCTTGCTGACCCTGTCTTCCTGAGGCACTTACGCTTTGACATGAGCTTTTACACTAAGCTCTTGTGCTTAAACAGCTCGTTGGATTCTCCTCATAATGGAAAAGTGTGTCCGTGAAAAGCAAGCTGGGCTCAGTGTAAAGACATACGCTCTGATAACCGCTGGGTGATGGATGGAGGAGAGCTGGGTGCTGGTGGCTCTGTGAACTAGATGTTTTATGGCATGTGTGTTCGGTCCAAAGTGGCTCTTTAGGTTTGAGATGGGGGGCGGTTTCTGAAACATTCTACTGGAATTCATGAACCACTTCCTGGTTAGGGCTGAGAAGAGGGAACAGATGACAAAGTTCCTGGAGCACATCCTGCAGATACATGCATGCGGTGCATATATCCCACAGTCCCTTTGAAAAGGAATACAGAAATGGCTGAAATGGTAAACAGTACAAATGACAGAAGTAACTATTAAAATTTCATATTAATATAAATACAAAAATAAGTCAATACCAAATAATTAAGGATTAAAAGTCCCAATAAACTCTTACCAAATCTTTGTTTTTGGTGTTGTATTAAAAAGTACACAGTGCCTTATCAGTGCCTGCCCATATCACATGTTCATTGACGGGCATACAGCGGGACCTCTCACATGCAGTTCTAAGACAGTGGGCCCACTGGGGTATTGAGGGAGCCGGCTGGGGGTGGGGGGCGTGGCCTAGGACGCCACCGAGGCCACACCCACCCCGTATCTTGGTCACGGCAGGCCCCATTCCGGCTGCCAGGTGTGGTGCTTGTGCCTCACCCTAGGGTCACCCTTTGCGCACAGCAGAGGGCTGATTCTGGGCCAAGGAGCAGGGGCAGTAAGTTGGCTTCAAGTCAGAGCAGACCTCTGGGACACAACCGAAACAATGCATACGCTGCCCACCTAGGCTGGGGGGTGCACTGGTAAAGACCTCAAAGACTTGACCCCACATCCCTGTTCTCCAGGGTCTCTACCTGTTGTAGCTGGCAAGAAATAGAGCACTGAAAGGAATAGGGAAAAAGCCCTGTAGATCCAACACGTTTTGGGGGAGGTTCTTGCTTTAAGATTGCACCTTCTAATTTTTAAAAAGCATTCAAATCAAGTGGGATTTATTCCTGGGCTCTTGGGGTAGTTCAGTATTCACAAATCAATCAACGTGATGCACCGCCTTAATAAAAGAAAGGATAAGAACCATATGATCCTCTCAAGAGATGCAGAAAAAGCATTTGGCAAAGCACAGCATCGTTTCTTGATAAAAACCCTCAACAAAGTAGGGAAAGAGGGAACATACCTCAACATCATAAAGGTCATATACGAAAGACCCACAGTGGATATCATCCTCAATAGGGAAAAACTGAGAGCCTCTCCCCCACGGTCAGGAACAAGACAGGGATGTCCACTCTCACCATTACTATTTAACATAGTACTGGAAGTCCTAGTCTCAGCAATCAGACAACAAAAAGAAATAAAAGGCATCCAAATTGGCAAGGAAGAAGTCAAACTTTCATTATTTGCAGATGACAGGATACTCTATGTAGAAAACCTGAAAGACTCGACCAAAAAATTGCTAGAACCAATATACGAATTCAGCAAGGTCGCAGGATTTAAAATCAATGTACAGACATCTGTTGCATTTCTATAAACCAATAACTAAGCAGCAGAAAGAGAAATCAAGGAATCAGTCCCACTTACAACTGTACCAAAACCCAAGAAGATACCTAGGAATAAACCTAAACAAAGAAGTAAAAGATCTGTACTCTGAAAACTATGAAACACTGATGGAAGAAATTGAAGAGGACACAAGGAAATGGGAAAACATTTCATGCTCATGGTTTGGAAGAACAAACACTGTTAAAATGTCCATACTACCCAAAGCAACCTACACATTTAATGCCATCCCTATTAAAATACCACCAGCATTTTTCACAGAGCTAGAACAAACAATCCTAAAATTTGTATGGAACCACAGAAGACCCCGAATAGCCAAGGCAATCCTGAAAAAGAAGAGCAAAGCTGGAGGCATCACGATTCCGGATTTTAAGCTCTATTACAAAGCTGTAGTCATCAAGAGAGTATGGTACTGGCACAAAAACAGACACATAGATCAGTGGAACAGAATAGAGAGCCCAACTCTATGGTCAACTAATCTTCGACAAAGCAGGAAAGAATATCCAATGGAAAAAAGACAGTCTCTTCAACAAATGGTGTTGGGAAAACTGGACAGCCACATGCAGAAGAATGAAACCAGACCACTTCCTTACACCACACACAAAAATAAATTCAAAATAGATGAAGGACCTAAATGTGAGACAGGAAAGCATCAAAATCATAGAGAAGAACACAGACAGCAACCTCTCTGACCTTGGCCACAGCAACTTCTTCCTAGACATGTAGCCAGGGGCAAGGGAAACAAAAGCAAAAATGAACTATGGGGATTTCATCAAAATAAAGTTTCTGCACAGCGAAGCAATCAACAAAATTAAAAGGCAGCCTATGGAATGGGAGAAGATATTTGCAAATGACATATCTGATAAAGGGTTAGTATCCAAAATCTATAAAGAACTTATCAAACTCAACACCCAAAACCCAAATAATCCAGTTAAGAAATGGGCAGAAGACATGAATAGCCATTTTCCCAAAGAAGACATCCAGATGGCTAACAGACACATGAAAAGATACTGAACATGACTCATCATCAGGGAAATGCAAATCAAAACCACAATGAAATACCTTCTCACACCTTTCAGAGTGGCTAAAATTAACAACACAGGAAACAACAGATGTTGGCAAGGATGCAGAGAAAGGGGAATCCTCTTACACTGTTGCTGGGAATGCAAACTGGTACAGCTACTCTGGAGAACAGTATGGAGGTTCCACAAAAAGTTAAAAATAGAACTACCTATGATCCATCCTGCACTACTAGGTATTTACCCAAAGGATACAAAGATACAGACTGAAGAGGTACATGCACCGCAATGTTTATAGCAATATTATCAACAATAGACAAACTACTGTGTCCATCGACTGATGAACAGATAAAGAAAATGTAGTATATACACAATGGAATACTACTCAATCATAAAAAGGAATGAAATCTTGCCATTTGCAATGATGT